CGGATCCTGCTATCGGATCCTGTCATCACATCCTGCCATCACATCCTGCCATCAGATCCTGCTATCACATCCTTCTATCAGATCCTGCTATCACATCCTGCTATCAGATCCTGCCATCACATCCTGCCATCAGATCCTGCTATCACATACTTCTATCAGATCCTGCTATCACATCCTGCTATCAGATCCTGCCATCACATCCTGCCATCACATCCTGCTATCAGACTCTCACTTGTATATTAAAGCTCTTGACAAAAGCATCTGCTATATAAGTACATGTCAGATAAATTAAGAACATACATGCTCTGCTCAGAATTAGTTTTGATAATCAACAGCTAAGAATCCTAAAGTATGAAGTTTTACATTATGTGGCATATAGCTCTGTTTGAGTTATCTTGCACAGATAAACTATGTGATCCTTCATTTTAATTTTACTCTTTTTTTGTGTATAGGATTAAAAATTAGTAAACTTGTTACTGTTAGGAATGAATATCCAGGCCAACGCAAAGTATGTGTGCAAACCAGGACTAACAAAAACATACATCATACAACAGGTGTCACAGTGGCTCAGTGTGTAGCACTGATGCTTTTCACCTCCATGGTAATTGGTTAGAGTCCCATCTTCACTTTGTGTAACAATTTTGTAAATTTTCCTATGGGTAGACAGCAAGGGCATAACTTTTGCTGGAACATGGGGGGACTACAGCCCCCCCCGTTATTTACGCCCATGGTAGACAGTTCACCTTCCGCCGCTGAATTACTTGCGATTAGACTGGTGTATCCCAGTCATCTGTGGCGTGCGATGTGTGTGCTAGGCCGTGCCTGTATATTCCCGGCTATGCAAAGCACAGCCCTACCTGTGAGATATGAGTGACATCTAGCGGAGGACTGGGGCAGCGCGCGCACCCGGTGACGCCTGCGAGGAGAATGCGGGACGGCCGGCGTCATTACGTCCGAAGCGAACGGGAAACAGGCGAACCGGACGGCCGGGAAGGAGCCCTCTGAGGTAAGAACAATGTCTAGAAAGCCAAAAACGGCAATAACAGTTAGAAAAGAACCTTAAGTTCGCCACCGAAGGACACGGACACTCAGGAGTCGGGATACAATCGTTTTCATGTGTTTTAACGGCAACTTTACACCATAAAGTTGCTCGTAGACACGGTTGCATTCACTTTTGTTCCCGCCCGTTACCCCATATCTTGGCTAAAATTTGCTTTAGTTTGTTTATTTGGGTGGTTGGCCAGTAGTCGGGTTAAAGTGTAGATAAATGCCTTTTTTCGGCAACGTACAAAATGGGAAGGCGTCCTTACTCCCGAAGTGCCTTTACCGCCCATCCAGGGCGGTGTAATGGGGGCTTTTTGTCTGGAGCCACGTTGCGGATGTTATGGTGAATATTTAGCCAGCAGTTAGCTGTTAGTAAGTTGTAAGAAGGCAGATGTCGATAAACCCGGAGGAAAACCAGCCGACGAAGCCACTCATCTTTTGATAGGTGCTGTGTGGGGCTGTGGAACTGGGAGCCCACTAACTAGCTAATTAACCAGCTAACTAGCATATTTTCAAAGGTGAAAGTTACATGTGTAGCCAAGCAAGCGAGTAGCTGATTAATCTCGGGTTGATTAAAAGCAATTTTATGAGACGTTTTTTCTAGTTGAAAAATGAACGAGAACGAGGAAGCATAATTTGATTAAAACGCTCCAACTAACTCATCCCCTTTATTCCATATAAATAATCGCTAGTCTCACTGTACAGGCAGGTATTGAGTAGTTTTTTAGGCAGCTAGCTCTCTGGTGCAGAAGTCGGTTTGGGTTTATGTACTTCGATTTGGTCATTTTGGTTTCTACAACCCAAGTGTTTAAAAATAGCTAAGCAACTACGCGAGTAATTGTTTTCAAACCCGCAGGTTACATTGGTTCGTACGTACGGTAGGTTGTGCTGACGTATACTCGGGCCAGTTCGGGCGGTTTAACTTGTGCGATTCAGTTACTAATTAAATTAGTAGTCTGGTGACGCGGAAGTCTGGTTTTGTTAATTCTATGTACTCCTAGTAGTATTGTCGGTTGTCACGTTCATCATTTATTGTAGATTATTAAAGATAACGCTGTCTCGTTTTCTCATACATACAGTGAAGTATGATTGCAGGCTGTCTTGGCAACTTAAATGCAGCTGATTGTCTGACTGTTTGGTCACATACAGCAGATGTTGAGGTGATTAGAAACACCTCAGGAGGAACCGCTTTGAAATACTCTTCCAGATGATACCTTACTTTAATTATTAGTGAAATGGCCAGCTCTGTAACTGGGTGAAATTGTAAATTACTTTTCATGGGGGGCATTGACGAACTCGTTTCTCCCTTTCTAACACCACTTTCAGTATTATTGTCAGTTGTGTCTTTCTGTGCAGATGCTATATGGTGACATGAACTGTGTTTGTGTTTTTTTGGCATGCTATGTTCTTATCTGTTTATTCATGGTGCTTTAGGAACTGAACATTAGGTTGTTTTAGTCTGCACTTTAATTATAAGAGACTTATACAGTACACCTTAGTTTAAAAATCATTTGTATGCCTGATTATTTCTCTAGACTAAATGAGACTCTCATGTGGCACATATTAGGAAGCACATTTTGATGAAATGGTTAGCTTTTGCAACATTGTGGCTTTTATTGCGTTATTGTATAAAATGGCATCTATGTGCAGTTGAGGACATCACCAAAGTGATTAGGGTTTCAAATTTCTCTGAGGGACCTACTGACAGCTCTTGATACTGGGCTTAACTGCAAACTGGTCAGTGGTCTGGCTCCCGTACTTCACTTCTTAACCAAAGATATCTGAAAGAAAAGATGGTTCCCCATCCATGAGAAAAAGGATCTGCTATGTAGTTGGATATGGGTTTGTATTTATGAGGGAGAACTCTTGTGGTAATTACAGTATCTGCAGAGGCAAACAGTATAGTTAATGTTTATTGAAGCACCGCTCTGTTTTTACACTAGCCGTTTGCTTTTGCCAAAGTGGAAAGTTAATTGGAAGCAGTGAAGAACAGTTGTGTATATTTTGGCTTGAAAAGTTAGGGCCGTTAGTATTGTTAAAGCAAAATAGCTTTAGTAACTGTTCAACTCAACGGCCTCTGCATTTTTATGTGACATTTTGTACCACTTAAACCACTCAGATTTTGAAAAATTCTATATTGATTGTACAATTACTATGTTATTCACAGACTGAACTGAATGCTTTGGACTCATTTAAATGCAAAATATACCATAAAGAAAGAGCACATTGCCATTTCATTGTCAAAAATAGACTATGCATTAAAAGTTTTTGATTCAGGTCCTGGGAATAGTTCTCCTGTTGTACTGAAAGGATTGTGCTAAACCTAAGGTCAAGTCTCTTTATTGTCATGTCCCACACATGAAATGACATTGTGATTCTTCAGAGCATCAGACAGCTAGAGTGGTCTGCATCTTGATGATGTACTTTGTATCAAGTGACTTAAAGATTTTTCATCTGTATTCAGGTTAAGTAAGGGTTGTGATAATGTAAGCTATGTAAATTCCTTTGGATAAAGTGTCTTCTCAATAAAGAATGTAAATGTATCGTGATTCAGTCTTGTCTGTGTTATGTGAGGGTTTATGTGGGGGTTTTTGTGCTCCTTCTAAATTTAGTGATAATTAAATATACTCAGCCTAGCATTTCCCACAAATCATGAGTTAGGTCTGAGCAGAGGGGAGTGTTGCCAGAAGGGACGCTTTCCACCTCTCGTAGTAACAGAGCTTACTGTCCTATCTGTCCCCAAGGACAGCTTAGTGTAGGACACACAGGGCCATCGGCTGATGCTGCTTACCCATACAGTTCACCAAATTCTGATGAAGTTGATGGTGTCCTGCTGCCTTTTGCAGATGCTGAAACATTCTTGTAAATATAATTTGAAGGATAAGTGACTCTCTCAAATCAGTTTAATGCAGGGTTTTCTGACTGCGTTAGTTGGAATTAATGTATTAGTCACTATTGCCAGATTTTTTTTGGTCATACATCGTATTCACCCTCTCCAGTGATACATACCTGTTGCAAATGTGCAGTTTGAAGTGTGATATTGAGCTTTTGGTAGGGAGACACATTTTCTGTGACAAGTAAATACCATGAACACTTACTCATGTTTCTCATATTGAACTTAAACTACATTGTCTGTTCCACAAAGCCCCTCAATCAATCTCTAACTATCATAAATGTTTAAGAAGACACTATTGGAGGATTTTTCACCAAATTTTTGGTACCTTGATATTGGCCGATTTTATTAGCAGCTGATTGGTCAAGCCCTAGAGGTGACCAGGAATGTAGCCCTACCCCCTTCCCAAATACAGATGTCACAGTCGGCCTGCCCTCCTCTACAATATGAGGTCCTGCATTTGCCCGGATCTAGTGACATGTATGCTAGTGTGCTCCCTGTAGAATGCTGCTTTGGCTCCACTCTATGGCTCTTGTTGTTCATTATAAACCTTTTTTTGACTTTTATTCTTTATCTGGCTTCAGCACCTGAACTTTTACTTTAGAAGTGCCTTCAGTTTGCCTGGTAAACACACCCACAATAGCCATTTGTAGAGCCAGCTGTTTTAGTCTGAAGAATAAAACTCTCCTTTTTACATCATGCTTAGTTTTTGTAGCTCTATTTTTGATAGTTATTTGCATTCGAGTGCAGGAGTATTTTTAAGCAATGATTTGTTCCTGCTTTTGTCTTTGTTTTAGTTAGCCTCTGTCTAATTATAACTCTGGGAACCCTACAGCACACCTTAATGTCTGAGCTCTGAAAATTTGCTTGTATGCTGTACCTGTGTGTGCTTGAAAATAGGACAAAAGCAGTATAGAAATGCACCCGGAGGAGCAGTGTTTTCCAGGGGGCTGCCTGCATCTGTGCGCTCTTGATACCACCCAGAAGGCAGAACACACCCGCCTGGCTAGTTGCCATGGATAGAATGTGTCATGTCTATGTGCAAAATTCTTCAGTCTCCAAGCCAATGTAGACACAAATGTTGTGCTTGTTTTGTGTTAGTAGAGTATCAATGAGAGTTTGGCTATTCCTGGGAGGGGAAATGACTTAGGTGCAGGTCTCTTTGTTGAAAATGTATTTACTGCAGGGGTTTAAATAAGTGTTTTTGCTGCCTGTATTTAATGTCTCCAAATACTCTGTTCATAGCTTGATTTATACCCCCTGAACCAGTCTTGAGCTGGTTGACAGGTAAGTGCATTCACTGGAGGAAAGTCTAAGAACTGATCCAAAACATTTCAGATTCAGCTTGTCATTTCTCTGTTCAGAAATGTCATATTTAAATAAAGTTTGCATGAAAATGATGGATATTTCGTACTCTTTTTGCCAACCTATGCCTTGTGGTTATTTCTTTCAAAAACCACACTGAAATTATCCTTCGAAATGCAGTGACTCTTCAGCATTCTTCAGCTAAAATATCAGCCAGTTTCGCCCTCAGTTTTCTCCAAGAAGCCCACTAAAGCCCCACTAAACTTGGTACGAAATAAAGCTTGAAAAGAGTTTTTCTGGAGACGCATCGCAATGGAAATTAAATTGAGATCACCACTCATCAGATCAGGTGTTACCCCGACAGCAACGTCTGAAAAACTGTTAAAGATAAAGAAACAAAAATTTCAAGCTATTATTTGATATAAAAATAAAACATTCTGAGCAGAATTCTTCAGGGACCCAGATATTTAGGATGGATGAACAGATAGCATTGTTTGGGATGTGAGATGACCAGTTACAGAGAATAATGTCATTGGGGATAAAAACTTGCAGCAGTTTCTACGGATGGTGCTGCTTTTCAAAAACTCAGGGGAATTCAATCCAGGATCAGTAGGAGCGCCCTGCACTCTCTGTCTTTGCTCTCTGTAGTAAAAAAAAGTTGCCTATTCAGGATCAGCTCCAGATCCCTGCAACCCTGCATAGGACAAACACGTATGGGTGGATGGATGGATCGACATCATTAAAATTCTTTTGCATGTGTTTATGAAGGCAGGTAACCATGGCGATGACAGGACAGACTTCCTGCTCCTCAATGAGTAACCACACCAAAGAACGTGTGACCATGGCCAAGGTAACCCTGGAGAACTTCTACAGCAACCTGATCACTCAGCATGAGGAGCGGGAGATGAGGTGGGCATCCATGCAGGCGGCGTGTAACTTTCCGCTCTCTCTCTCAGGAAGGGGGTGTCTCTCTCCCATGTTGCCCTAGCACCGTCATTGTAGAGTTGCATATAATTCTGCACTGCCTAAGTGCTGTCACACCCAACCAGTTTAAATTGTGCTGCGGAGAGGGTCCTTCTCAGAGTTTTGATTGACGAATCATCTGCTTCAGGGAGCATTTTTATTACTAGCACCTTCCAAAACTTGAATTATGCTGTATTTTAATGTGGAAAAACATCTCAGTCAGTGATTCTGGTTCTGTTACTGGTCACATTGGTTGACTTTGGCTGCCAGTGATGACTAAATTCTGCAATATTTTTCTCCTCTTTGAAACCTTTTTGGAGTATCTCTTGGAGCTTATTTTAAATAAACTGCTGTTAAATAGGATGGGGACAAAGACATTTCTTTTAATGCGATCCTGCACTGCAGCATGTAATTCACTATTATTGCGGTTTTTGCACATGGTCATGTAAAGATGTTTTTGGGGCAGTGGATGGCAGGGTGTATGTTGGCAGCAGCTGGCTCAGTGGCGTCCGGCCAGCTATGAGAGAGGATCTGCCATTGGATAATGCTCTCCCTGCCCGACCTCCGCAGATGCGCTGCTTTTGGACAGGGATTCCTCGGCCCAGTCACTAAAGGGAATTAAGTGTTCGATCAGCCAGCAAATTCTGTACTCTTGCTGTTTAGACCCCTGGCTTCTGTAATGTGAATGTCCAAACTAGGGGCACCAAATATTAAATACTCCTTATTTTGCTGTTAAAAATACTTAATACAGCAGCTAACCTTTTTATTTGTGCCAATTCAGTACAATTCAGGGTCTTTTGGTTGGTCTGGTGCTCTGGTTAGATATAGCAGAATTGCTTAATAATCTTTAAGGAGCATGGCTGAATTGTAGTGTTTGAGAGGCGGATGCATCAGATCAGCAAATTGTGCGTCTGGTGTTTGCATTTGCAGCTGGAGTCACAGTCCAGCTTGGGAGTTGAGGGAGACGGGAATGCAGGCACTCCTGTGCTCTTGTGGGCTGTGTCCTGCTGAGCAGGTGTTTTCTGCTGTAACTGCGGCTCACTAATCACCGCTGGAGTTTAAGGAGCCGCCATAATTTTTACAGCTCTGCATTGCGCAAGTAATATTGCTGACCCCCCCCCCCCCCAAACTCTGTCCACAGGCAGCAGAAGCTAGAGAAGGTCATGGATCAGGAGGGGCTGGCAGATGAGGAGGTAAAGAGACAAGCACACGATGTCCTACAGGAATGTAGTCCGCAGTGTCAGACTGCGCACACAGTCCTACATACGTGCGGATGCAGTCCTACATGTGTGCAGATACACTGAGGAAGACATTTAGATTCAGCCATTGATACGCTGTCCAACACTTTAAATGTGTCAGTGCACAAATGTGTATGCACATACAGGCTAGGGGCTTCATTTTCATTAGTCACCAAGTACTGCAGAATAGTAGTCCTCTAGTCGACTAATTGTTAATTACGTAATTATGATGTAATGACGTAAAACGTAGAGTGTTTTCTGCCTCTGCTCTTTCATAAATGCTAGCAGTGCTAGTACTTGGTAGCAGCTGTGGCATTGTTAGGTGGCTGTGCTTGGCAGACAGACTATTGCGCAGGGTTTTAATCAGAATCAGGGGAGGGGCAGCCGTTTCAGGAATGGGGGGAGGGGGCACTCTGTGCTTTGGTTAGTTAGTTATGTGTTTGTGATCTTAAAGATGCAGTATGCTCATTTATCAGCATGTTGTGTTTTTTTTTGTGCAAAACTGACTTTGTTAAACTTTACTTTGAATCTTCTACAAAATTTTGGGACATTAACAAATAAGGTTAACGAAGGGGCTGGGCTCCACCAGGATCCGTCTTCATTTGAGCCATGCCTTTGTGCTATTTAAGGTAGCGCTGCATAACCTGCTGGTAACACTAGAACCAAAATGATCTTCTGTACAGTATTCCCATACTGCTGAGCCTGTTGTCAGCTCATCTCCAGACATTGCTGCCTCCTCTGTAGACGCCATGTCGCACTGCAGCGTGCGTGCACATCCACAGCTTGAGACCTGTGTGTGAATGTTTTTAAACTGCCACTAATTTGAAATATTATAGTTCTCCAAAACCAAAGAAATCAAATCAGTCAAACATGATTTACAACTTTGCTATTAAGCAGGTGCCGCTTTCTGGAACCCTGTTGCCAGCAACCGAAAGCATCAGTCAGTCTGTTAGTTGTCTAGAAGGTGGAAGCCCTAACAGGCGTGGTACTTGCATTGGCGTGCGCGCGCTCCATCCCCCCACTATGGTGCGTTAGCTGTTCTCTCACCCCTCACAGAAATGCCTCCGTCGCTCCCAGCACGCCCGCAAAGAGACGGAGTTCCTGCGACTGAAGCGTACCCGCCTGGGCCTGGACGACTTCGAGTCCCTTAAGGTCATCGGGAGGGGGGCCTTTGGCGAGGTAACCGCCATATCCGCCTGCTCCTGTAAACTCTATCTGTTACGGCCAGAGACGGTTCCCAAGCCATTTCACCTTTTCCAAATTAAACTTGTTTCTGCTTTGGCTTCTGCTGTAAGGTCGTGGTCCCGGGTAGCGTGATTCCTGAGCTGCCTTTCCAGCCCTCGTCTGAATGGCCCTCCTCTCCCTCTGTCCTGACCATAGGGCTCCCGTAGTATAGCATGCTAGCGCATGTTTGATGCAGGCTGCCACTCTGTGCATCTCTGTCCATCCCAGGTGCGCTTGGTGCAGAAGAAGGACACGGGCCACGTGTATGCCATGAAGATCCTGCGCAAAGCCGACATGCTGGAGAAGGAGCAGGTGATGGAGCTCGCCGGGGCTGTGTGGGAGCTGTGTGGGGGCTCACG